ACTAGCCAAACTGCAAATATTCTCTAAATTACCTATGTTTTTAGCTCGGCTAGTCTGACCTTAAATTTGAAATTTGCTTGAATTCACTTTGGATTCTCATTTTAGTAAATAACCCTGATTGCTTAATGTGGCATATTTACAATGTTTCAGACGAGATAATACATTAAATATACTGTATCCGTTTCTAAAAAATTCTCGGGCTACAAGTGCTATAATTGCGAGAGTTTAGTGAAAAGCCTGTCACAGTTCCCCACAATTCACACTTTCATGCATAATCCCTGTGAGGCTGAGCTACTAAACACTGAATTGTAAGAACTGAACTGAGAATTGAAAGTTTACCTGTACCTGCATTGAAGAATTTATTTGCAAATCAGCCAGAATTGCAATTCTGCTATCAATTCACTAAAATACGGAGTTAGTGAACACTCCCCCAAGTTTAAACTCAATTGGCAGACATTAAAAAGGGATTTTTATCATTTTAGCCTGTCATTTGTTTAAAGGAACACTGTAGTAGTTATGGTACCTGGCGTGCTCTGACAACCCTCTTATGTACGTAGTCTAACTGTCTCAGAGCTGGTGGTCCTGGTAGGAGATTACTTTCCACTCCCAAACTTAACCCTGCAGTGGTTATAGTGTTTGCAATGTTAGTTTAACAAGCATTGTTTCCCATGACAAATATTTAGTTACCTCGGAATATCGCTGTACAGTGAATGCTGTATATTGAGTGATACCCCATAAAATTACTGTAAAATAAATAAATTAAATTCTTCCTTTTGGTGCACAGAGGAGTCACTGAGTGCGAGCTCTGACTCATTCAGAGTGTCCAACTAATACAGGAGTGTTGTAACAGTATAACATTAAGACATCCAGTCTGAATCACTCTACTTTAAAAGGAAAACATTTTTTTCTATATTATATATATGATATATTTGTATTATTGTCTATATATATATATATATACATATTATATATTATGTATCAGTGTCTATATATATGGTATATTGTATATTATGTATCAGTGTCTATGTATATGATATATTATGTATCCGTGTCTATATATATATTGTATATGGTATATAGGATATAGTACTATCAGTGTCTATGGAAGCCATGGTGTCAGTGTCTATATGATATATGGTATATAGGATATATCACTATCAGTGTCTATGGGAGCCATGGTGTCAGTGTCTATATGATATATGGTATATAGGATATATCACTATCAGTGTCTATGGGAGCCATGGTGTCAGTGTCTGTATGATATATGGTATATAGGATATATCACTATCAGTGTCTATGGGAGCCATGGTGTCAGTGTCTGTATGGTATATGGTATATAGGATATATCACTATCAGTGTCTATGGGAGCCATGGTGTCAGTGTCTGTATGATATATGGTATATAGGATATATCACTATCAGTGTCTATGGGAGCCATGGTGTCAGTGTCTGTATGATATACGGTATATAGGATATATCACTATCAGTGTCTATGGGAGCCATGGTGTCAGTGTCTGTATGATATATGGTATATAGGATATATCACTATCAGTGTCTATGGGAGCCATGGTGTCAGTGTCTGTATGATATATGGTATATAGGATATATCACTATCAGTGTCTATGGGAGCCATGGTGTCAGTGTCTGTATGGTATATGGTATATGGGATATATCACTATCAGTGTCTATGGGAGCCATGGTGTCAGTGTCTGTATGATATATGGTATATGGGATATATCACTATCAGTGTCTATGGGAGCCATGGTGTCAGTGTCTGTATGGTATATGGTATATAGGATATATCACTATCAGTGTCTATGGGAGCCATGGTGTCAGTGTCTGTATGGTATATAGGATATATCACTATCAGTGTCTATGGGAGCCATGGTGTCAGTGTCTGTATGGTATATGGTATATAGGATATA